TGGAAATGAGATGAATGTATTTGAGGAGATGGCAGCAGAGTGGCAAAGGAGATTAACAGTGATCACAGCAATGCTGTTGGCTTCAGAGAGCGAGAGCGAGCGGCGGAACCTCCCTCTGTTCACTGATTCATCTCTCCTTCAGCCACAGGCAGACGGAGCACAGGAATGAGTACAGAGGGATGAGAAAGCTTTACTTCTCTGTCTTCTGCTTATTGATCAAAGGACATGAAAAAACACTCTGAAAAAAAGAAGATACAGCAAAAAGCTGGAAACTTTTTCTTGAAACTTTCTCCTCCTGCACCGTGTTCTTAATATAATCTGCCTGGCCTTTACTCTTCCTCGTTACCTACAGCTTTCATCTGCACCCGTTTTGACCTGTCTGCAACTTTTTCACGTAACTTTACAATCAATGCGTTCAGTCACTGTAGGAAGTAGATCTTGGTGCCATCAATGATTCTAAGTGCATCTTTTCCAAATAAACACCTTAAAACGTTGATGAAGTGTTGAGCAGTGTGACTCAGACAGTATCAGGCAATGAAATCCACACAACTTTGCTATAATGTAAAATTTTGACTTTCTTCTTTTGGTTTGCACTTCATTTAACCTTCTGCTTTTGGTCTAAAATGCATTTATTTTGCTTTATAGCCCTCTCTATTATTTCTGAACATTGTTATGTGGAAGCTACTCAAGCAGTCTTTTCACAAACCTTTCATTTACTCTTTATAATGGCACCAACGTCGTCCCTGATTGTAAGTTTACTGTTGTTGTTTTTGTCTACTCTGCACCTCTTGCAGGTCTGACTGTCCTTGAAGAGGCATCCTTACTCTGTTGCTATGTTTTTCCACCCCCATTAAAGGGTTTATTTTCTTTTTAAGAGTTTCTCCTTATCCAGCACTTTGAGGGTCGAGGGTTTAAGGATAGTAGGGGGTCATACGCTGCACAGATCGTTAAGCCCTTTGATGGTGATTTGTGATTTTGGGCTATATGAATAAAACTAACTTTGATTAATTCATTTAGTTAATTCAAGTTCAAATCTTCTTTTTGAGTGCTTCTTGGCGAATGTTTAATTAAAAGTTCATTCTGATTTAAATTCAAAAGGACTTTCCTTCCAGTGATATTCATGTCTTCACTCCCGTTTTATACCAAGATGAAAGGATGAAGTCTGGAAACTGAAACTGAAGTTTTTTGGAAGTTAAATCCATCAGGTCAGCTCAAGTACAGTTAGAGTCTTTTATCCACACTGCAGAACACATCAATATTAACTGATGAGTCTATTATTGAGCCTCAGTGTCTCAAAATCTGCTAGAGGTGTAAAGTTATTTCCAATAAACTATCTTGAATTAACATTCTCTTGATACCGGTGCAGCAGTTCGCCTTATTTGCCAGTCTTGTGTTGAGATAATGACACCCATGTCTAGAAAACAACAGAATTATCTCAACCCAGGAAGAAGAATAAATCCTGAAAGAGAGATTGAGTGGGAAAGAGTGAAAGAGAGTTTTGATTCATCTAATTGTATATAAACTCCTGGTGGACGTGTTGCCGTTGATTAGACAACATGTTATTCTGAATAGAATAAAAAAGCTTTTCTTCTTTCTTTTCTTTTCTTCCTCTGCAGGGCTTTGAAATTCCAAGACGCTGAACAACGCCGCCAATCCTCTGTACTCCAAAACACACTTTTAATCTCTCAGCCTATGCGCTTTCATTTCATGGACGTGATAGATGCTGCACAAATATTTCAGCTGCTGTATCTCTTCAGACACTTGACACGGTATCCTCACTTTCAACAAAAAAAAAAAAAAACGGAAACCAAATTCTCAAACTCGCCTGTGCAAGTTTTTTTACCTCGCCGTGTAAATGTTTATGTCTGCACAACGTTATGAGTCAGCATGTGTGTGTGTGTGCAATTGTGATTTCATGTGTGTTTGTGTCTTGCTCTAACAGGCGAGACGGCAGCGGCGTATACTGGGTGTCTGATTGGAGTCCGGTTGCGAGGAGTGGTGAGCTGTGTGAACTCTGGTGCTCTCTGACTGCCGCATTTTCATGGAAAGCATCTCTTTGGGGGCCTGCAGGTTTTCAATACGCTCATTTACACATCAAAACAGCACAGGAAAGGGATAGTGCTCAAGGGGGGTGAGGGACTGCAGAAGGAGGGAGGGCAGGGTAATGAAGGATGCTTTATTTTCTCTTTTTTCCCCCCTCAGGGCTGGGCAAGGGTTTAAGTCTATGAGGGAGGCGCATTGATGCCATAATGATCGCCTTTAATCAGACCCATGACCAGATGGAGGGATTTCTCCTCAGCAGACAAAAACATGGTGTCAGCAGCTAAAGCGGGAAGGTGTTTTTACGCCTTTCTATAAAAAACAAATTGTACAAATCCTATGTAAAGAGACCTGTTCTGTGTTGCTTTAGAATCAATAAATACACGCTCGGGCTCACAGTCAACACAATGAAATATTCCTGTGAAAACTATAGGGAAAAGTGTTGCCTTTTCTGGGAGTAGTCTCACTTCTGGCCCAGACAAACTTGCTGCTCAGTGCGACTGACACTATTTAACCTCCTGAGCCAGAAGAAGAAAAACAGCACGAAGGCTCAGCCAAACTAAATCTTTCGAGCAAGGCCGAGCTTACTTACTCCTGAAATTTGGACATTACTGGAAGACGGGGTGGGGTCTTCTTCGAAACAAGCTCGGTGTTGATTGGCTGCCGCTGCTCCGGCACTGCAGACCTCAGGTGTGTGTGCGTGCGTGTGTGAAGGGAAGGTGTTCCTGGCAGCCACAACTCTGGCGCCAAAGGAACCACAGCTCAAACAAACTCTGTTTTTGGAATGAACCTTTCTTTCTTGCCTCTATCTGAAGCAATGTGTGCTGTGTGATTCCTTTCCTCTGCGAGAAGAGAAGGAGCTAAAAATAGCTGTCAGTGACCTGGAAATGCAGCGATAGAATTCATATTTGTGGAAAAAGAAACAGAGCAAAGACATCCTGTTGCTGCTGTAACAAGTAATTTGTGTTGACCTTTGTAATTTTTCTTAGTCGTATTCAGCAATACATGGAAAAATAAAAAAAATAAATGCAGAAAGGGCAAGAAAGTGAGAAAAAAAAAGAAATGCTGAGAAGGGAAAAGCTGCAGAAGACAAATTGCCCTCTGTACTACCCCCATGTCCTTAACCCTCTGCAGCTACCTACTTCCTATCTAATCAGTGCAGCTCAGCGCAGGTGGGACAAGCTGGTTTGTGTCTCACACAGCAAGTGTTCGGCCTCTCCAGGTCATGTCACTGGAGTGTAAACTGGGGAGGAAGCACGCGCCCCCGTTCAGGCGCCCATGAACTGGAACATGTGGCTGAAACACCACCAGCCGAGTCTCTGGCTGAGAGCGCGCTCCAAGCAAAACAGCCCTTTTTAATAGTTAAATGTGATCCACACGGTGTCAGAGTCCAGGACTCGCAGCGCTCGCCTGCCAAGCCATCGACAACGTCTACAATGGCTGAGCAATGAAAACAAAACCAAAAAAAAAGGGGAGGATGTTAGTAGTTAACCCACATGTTGTTCTGCAGGAGGAAGGAATAAGTAATTTAAGTTAACTCAGGCGTTGCACAGTGCATAGTGGAAACGTGGTTAATTTACTACAGAGACATAACGCAGCTTTGATTTGGACTGATGTGTGTTTAGTAAATGAATACTAACATGTGCATGGAACAAGCTGTGTAGTACGTGCATCTTATTATAACTCTGCTGGAACCGCAAATGGTGGAAAAAAACGAAAACAAAACATCTTTAAACCTCTGGAGATGTCAGCGAGCACACGCCTGCTTCACACTGCGGAGGTTCCAGTAATGTAATGAAAACAAGCTCCTGGTCATCACATTTTTTCCATGCTATCACTCCCATGTGCTGCTGTTGCTGCTGCTGCTGGTGACACAGCACACAATTACACACACACACACAGACATAATAATCAATTTCACTTCTGTCAAACATTGTAATTTCCACTGTGTTTTGCTTTATGTGAAACGACTTGCTGTGTGTGGCTGTAATTTACGTTGGCACTTAAATTGTTAAAGTCCCGTAATGTAAAAGCTATTTATTTTCACTTTTTTATGGACCATCTGAGAACATGGTGGCTCTTGTGCATCATAAAATGCACTTTATTACTGAAACGTTGGTTGCAGGATCCCAAACTTAGGGTATTTATTTAATGAAAATAACGTTATGCACACTTTTTCTCTGCATCCGTCAGTGATTATTTATGCCTGATGGTAGCTCTTCAAGAATTAATGATGCATTGTTTCTCCAGCCAAAACAAAAGGCCTTGCAGTGAAACAAATTCAAACATTTAAACACGGAAATTTGGATCTTTTGAAAAAAAAAAACGGAATTCCCTTTAATTTATCCCAGAAATATAAATTCAGAGCCACAAACCACACATGAACTTTAATATTAAGTTAATAATCCATCTACTCAATGAGCAGACCGCAGTTTTGAGTGCCTGTGCTCAACTTAACTCTGCCAGTGAAACCACGCAATGAGGCTGAAATCCACTTCAGATTTGTCCTCTCACATCAAAGTGCTCCGTGTTTGCACGGGGATCAAATGGAGCAGCGAGAGGGCAACAACACCGATTCTACGCAAGGATTAAAACTGCCATTAATTAAATATATTCCTCCGCAAACCGCTCCTGCATTTTAAAGGAGATGATGCAAACATTAATACTTGCCACGGATTGTCACTCTATTCATCAGCGATTCTCTTTGAGGATTATTGTCGGGGACGCCTCCGGGATGTGGAGCACGCACTTGGAAGACAACGCGTTTGGCAGGGAGTTCTCGCGAGTGGAAAAAAATAAAAAAAAGCCTGAATCCCAGGAGAAGAATGGCAGGAAAATCAGGAAAACAAGACTGAAATGAGCAATCGTTTGTGACTATTAAATGTGAAACAGTTTAAGACGGTTAAAATGGTTAAATATTCATTCTAGTGTGAGGCGGTTACCAAAATGACAACAGGAAGTGAAGATGCTCAACATGAATTCCACAAGATTTATTATCCTCCAGGAGGCCAGAACCAGAGTTCTTATAAAAGGCACTTAATTTCCCTTTACCTTTTTAATAAATGCATCTAAACAAACACATCTGAGAAGAGCAAACTTTAAATTAAATATATTTACAATAAATAAAACATTTATACAGATTTATACAGTTGATCGTGCCACTCTCAGGGAGGAGACAGACTATTTCCCGTAACAGTCTTCTTCTTTAATCTTTATTTTTGCTTTGAAGCACTGCGCATGTCCACGGCACAGATGAAACAGAAACATGTGGATAACAATACTGAACACTTCCCTTTATGCACTGAATACTGTTTATAGATAGTTTCTCATAGTGAGTCCGTCCCGACCTGTGTGTCCCTTGGCAGCAGCAGAGCAGTCACTGACAGTTCACTTCAACTTCTCACAAAGTCTTTAGCAGCTCCTTACTCAGGGCGTAAGTGTGTGTGTGTGTTTATCAGTGTGCAGGTGTGTGTGTGTGTGTGTGTGTGTCCCGCCTCCCTCTCAGACGTGCGTGGGGTTGTCTGAGTGCAGGTCCGTCTTGGCCATGTGCAGAACCACCGCAGGAGATTTGTAGTGGCAGTGTGTGCTGCCGCAGCTGACGCCGCTGCAGGGCTTCCTGCTTCTAGTCCTGTCCGTCAGCTTCCTGCTGCACAGGCCCTGCCAGGTCTGCAGGGTCTTCGAGCTCCACACCCACACCCCGCTGGTGATGCCGACCACCAGCGACATGAAGATCTTCAGCATGAACACGGCCACCGTGGGCACGGACGTGTGCAGCGAGCAGTCGCTGCTGAGCCCGTTGAACGAGCCGCACTTCACCTGCAGCCCCCTCAGCTTCCAGTAGTCCATGTTCAGCCTCTCGTAGAAGTAGCAGACGATGACGCAGGTGGCCGGCACCGTGTAGAGGATGGAGTAGATGCCGATCTTCACCATGAGCTTCTCCAGCTTCTCCGTGTTGGTGCCCTCCGTCTTCATCACCTTGCGGATGTGGAAGAGAGCCACGAAGCCGGTGAGGATGAAGGAGGTGCCGATGATCAGGTAGCAGGACAGCGGGATGAGCACGAAGCCGGTGAGCGCCCCCGAGTCCATGCTCCCCACGTAGCACAGCCCGGTCAGCTCGTCTCCAGCCACCTTCCTCATTGTGAGGATGACGATGGTCTTGAGAGCGGGAATGCCCCAGGCGGCCATGTGGAAGTAGTTGCTGTGGGCTTCGATGGCCTCGTGGCCCCACTTCTTCCCCGCGGCGAGGAACCAGGTGAGGGTGAGGATGACCCACCAGATGGACGAGGCCATGCCGAAATAGTAGAGGATGAGGAAGACGATGGTGCAGCCCGTCGACTCCAGACCTTCCTGGATGATGTAGAGCTCGCCGTTCTCCCGGTCGCAGGCGATGTTCTCGGCCCCGGCCACCGAGCGGATGATGAAGGCCACGGAGTAGACGTTGTAGCACATGGAGAGGAAGATGATGGGACGCTCGGGGTACTGGAAGCGGTGAGGCTCCAGGAGGAAGGTCAGGACGGTGAAGGCGGTGGAGACAAAGCAGAGGACCGACCACACCGTCATCCAGATGAAGGCGAAGTCCTTGTCCTGCCTGGACCAGAAGACGTCGACGGCAGGGGAGCAGCGCGGCGCACACGACTGGCTCTTCTCCACAAACTGGAACTTGTCCGGGTTCTCGCAGGAACCCATGTTCCCCGGAGATCGCCCGCCGCTGGAGCCCGGCTGCCGGGGGCGAGGGGGCACCGGGAGCATGCCCTCGCCCTTCTTGCCCTCCGTCCTGGTCTCGTTCTCGGGGGCCTCCATGCACAGGGCGTTGGGGTCGTTCCTGGTGGGCAGCTTGGAGCAGTCGAGCGAGTCCGGCCAGGTGTAGCTGAACTTCTTCATGATGGGGGCGCACCTCTCCCTGGCCTGCTCACACATGGGTCTGCAGGCGGGGATGGAGGTCGACACTTTGTCCGTGCACATGGGGGCGTACAGGGAGCAGAGGAAGAAGCGGAGGTGCACATCGCAGCCGTAAGCCACCAGAGGGGCGAACTCGTTCAGCTTGATGGCAGCCTCCTTCTGGTCGTCGTGGTCCATGAAGTTGGGCATCCGGGTCAGGTTGTAGCCGATCCCCTCGCACATGGGGATCACGATGGGCTCGCACTTGGCCGGTCTGCCTCGCTCCAGGTCGTAGGAGCCGATCTCAAAGCTGGAGCCCGAAATCACCAGCAGACACCACAGGAAAATCACCAGCTGCAGCGGACAGCCATCCATGCTCATTGTTTTGGTCAACACGCCGAGCCCTGTCTTCTAGAAATGAGCATGAACAGTCAGAAACACGGTGCTGGTGCCTGGTGGGTTACAGAGAGAGCCCCGTTATTTCCCCATGGCGAAGGCAGGTCCAAGTGTTCCCGTTACCGCTCCGTTAAGAGGGTGGATAAAAAAAAAACCCCTCCGAAAACAGAAAGTAGAGAAGTGTTCAGTTCTTCGGGTCTTGAATTAAAACGATTAATCCCACAGACAGTCGAGGTAAAGGTCCGCGACTGAGACGTGACAGTCGGAAACTTCGACAAACAATGGAGGAAAAAAAAACCATCAAAAATCAAACCGCCGAGAGCTCAGTGGAAGTCCTCAAACCGACCGTTAGCGACCGTTAGCGACCGTTGACTCGCAGCGCGGATCAAAGCGGCCGTTAGCGCCGTTGGTCGCCGGTCCGAAGGAGCGATAATAAAAGAGGAGGAGGTCTGTTTTAGCTGCGACTCTCGTCCGTCTGTCGGCTCCTGCTCCTTCAGTCCTCCGCTTTCAGGCTCGACACTGAAGTTTGAGAGCCGCTCAGTGGGACTCCAGTCAGGGGAGAGACCGAGGGGAGGAGGGGGGTGGGCGCTCCGTGACGCTCACATTTCAACCGGCAGCACCACACAAGGAAAATTATCAGACAGATGCTGGAGGATGGTCAAAATACCTCTGACATTTCTGCTCTCGATTCAGCTCAGACTGTTTTACTTCAGCAAAACAGCAGTGCCACAGTGTAAAACACTCATTTACAGGTTAAAAACAGTGCATTCAAAATGTAAATTTAAAAAGTATTATGAGCAGAAATGTACCTGAAATCTACATTCAGTCGATATTTTCCACACTTCAACTCACTTCACTACAGTTTAGAGGAAAATGCTGTACTTTATTTGACATATAGTTACGCTATAAAGATTTTACATGCATAAACACAATGAGCTTATAAAGCAGTTTAAGGTCGTTCAGATTTGCTCCACCTCCTAGACCGACAACAGTAAAAATGCTACTTAGACACAGACACATCTGTATGAATAATGCAATGATATAATAGAATAAACAGTGTTCAGGGTTATACTTGAGCATGAGCAGGGCCGGCTTTACCTGCTAGGGGACCCGCGGGCAAAAAGTGAGTCGTGGACACCCGATTCACCCTCTCATCTTCACACATTGTACGTTGATTAAATGTAAACATTTATTTAATGATTTGAACCACGTAAGCATAATGACGACTGAAAATAAAGACGCTTATCGCAAAGTGCCGAGCAAAATATGGGGCCACCGAGGGTCAGTGAGTAGCTGCATGGGGCTAGAGTAAAAGTATAGAAGTATAATCAGCAAAACACCTCAAGTATTAATTAAAAGTACTCATAATGTTTACAGCAGAATGGCCCCTGTCGTTATACGATTGGTTATTATTACTGATGCATTAACGTGCAAGTAAAATTTTAGTGTTGTAGCTGTTGTAACGACTTTATATGTGTTGAGTAGTTTTATGTAAATACTTATAAGCTTGTCTTATATTTGTATTTTATACGCTTTTAACTTGCAATGCAAAATGCAGCAATGCAAAACTAACTGTAACTGTTGGATGAATAGAGTAAAAAGTATAAAGTAGCATACAATTGGAAAACTCAAGAGAAAACGCCTCAAAATGGTATTTGTGCAATAGTGAGGAAATGTGATATAAAATGGAACAACTCAAGAAACGTACAAGTATACCTCTGAGTTTTAGGTACAACTAGTCGTTGATAACTGACTATACAGTCAGTTATCAACACAAAGAGTCATATTAACAACCACCACAAATTGATCTGATATTATTATTATCCTTTATTAAGCAATTATAAGAATTACAGAAGAATGTTAAAAGGTGAGGCAACATCTTTCCCCTCTGGATCCATAATAAGAAACCTGCCTTTACTGCTCTGAGTTTCCTCCAGTATAGTTGTAGAAAAAAGCCCACTCCTCTTGTAAAATGATAGTCCCAGAGGTGTTTTACTGTTGCTGACTCATAATTACTCTGTCACCGTTTTCTGCTAATGTTTTCATGCAGTATAATGTGAAACTTTATTGAGCCCTGCTGGATAGTTCTGTAAAACAAAGCTGGTATAGTGGTTTCACTTGCCTTGCTTAAGGACACTTCGGCAGGGGTGGGTGCTTTAAGGGTGAGGGATGGTCTCTCTAAAACACACTAAATCCAGGATGATTTGAATTGGCATTGAAGGATAAAACAGTGCACAGAATCAGGCATAACATGCAACAAATGAATGCAAGGACTATTGTTTCCATCTAGTGGCTGAATGGGGAGAGCCTGCAGCTCCACAGCTGTTGCACTGAGCATTTGATCTTTTCTCAAACAGGGGTGGAACTCAAGGATTTTGGCCTCTCGCCCTACAGGACTGAATTGTCTGTCAACTGCATACTGTCTCTATTAGTCTCTGTGTTAAAACTCTGCTGAAGGCATTTTTGCTTTTGTCTGGCGTGAGAATGGATCAATACTGGCAGAGAAATAACGCCGTGGCCTCTTGCACACAAACTGAAACAAACAAAAGACACTCTTTCTTTTGTTTAAAGGAATAGTTCAACATTTTGGGAAATACACTTACTTGCTTTTTGTTTGTCGAAAGTGAGATGAGACGATCAATACTGGTCTCATGTCTGTATGCTAAATGTAAAAATGTAAACAAACAGCAATTAGCTTGAATGATTGAAAGAGGGGGAAACGGCTAGCTTCTTCTGTCCAAAGGTGCCAAAATCCAACTACCAGCATCTCTAAAACTCACTCATTAACTAACTGTATGTTGTTTCTTTAATCTTTGTACAAATCGTAGTGTGAAAACACATATTTGTTGTTTTATTGTGGGTTTGTGGAGTATTTATTAGCTGTAAAACAACAAATTGTAGTTTTAAGACTTCAGTTTTCACAAACAAACAGTATATAATTAGTTAATTAGCTGGAGGATCCAAGTTAGCTGTCTTTCTGCTAAGCTAAGCTAATCAGCTGCTTCATATTTAGTATAGCGATATGAGAGTGTATCAACCTTATCACCTCAACTCTCAGCAGGAAAATCAAACAAGCATTTTTCCTAAATGGTGAACGATTTCTTTAAGATGACTCCGTCCCACACAGTTTTCATCTTGTTCAATGAGGTGTGAAAACACTCACTTAAATACTGCACTTTGTATTATCAGGCTATAAATTTACTGGTGCCTTATGAAAGGAAATCTTCTCTTCTTATGCTTTCTAGATGACAAATTGAGCTAGATGAAGGCAGTGTGTGCTGCTTTATCAGATCTGGCGTCAGGTAGGAAAAAAAACCGTCAAATTAAGCCAGATCGAGCGGGGGAGGAAATACATTCCAGACTCCGAGATGATATCTCATTGTACGTCAGCGCTGAGGTTTTGGTGAATCAAATAGAAATGCTTTGACTGAAGTTCCATTACTACTCAGCAGCCTCTCCACTTTAACATTTTCAAGTTCACACTTCAAAGACAAGGGGTCACTGGAGAAGACCTGAGTGTGCCCTTAGAAGGCTTCAGATTATTATCGGTCTGATATCTTTCTCCAAGGTAAGCAGCACATATCAGGATGCATTAGTATCCAAGTCATAAAGCCTCTCAAGGTGGGAGCGCTGGTGGAAGAGTTGACCCCGAAAGCAATTTGGATCATAGTTGATCATGTAAGATTTAGTGGCACCTAGCAGTGAAGTTGTAGATTGCAATCATTGGTGGCAGTGAAACTCATGAAGAATGCAAAAGGCCCTATCTACAGCCAGTGTTTGGTTTGTCCGTCCTGGGCTACTGTAGAAATGGTGATCCAAATAGTGGACTCCATAGAAAAACAGCTTATCCTAAGGTAACAAAAACGATTCCTATATTCAGATGATTATACACTAATAAAAACATATGCATGAATATTATGTTTTAATTATACCATGGTCTGGGTGAATACTCGGTTCTGATCGGCTGCTCGGTGTCCATTAATACCTGATGTAGGATCTACTAATGTTCTAAATGAATGCGCTGAAATTAATTGAATAAAAACTAAATCTAGTTAAATATCTCATAAATACATCTCACTACACTGAGTGCAGTCCTTCAGTGGCTCA